TTAACTAAGGTTATAGTTGTGCCACTTGAAGTTTTACCATCTTGAGTTCTTTAAGTTCTTTTCGAGTTCTTTTCAGCAACTACAATGAAAACATGCAAAAACAGACCTAAAAAATTTCCTGAAACTCCATTTCAGGGGAGACAAGGGCCTTAAAGTCTGTACAAAAAGCGCAGGGGAGCTTCCCTATAGTTGATGGCTCTGGATTTGGACCCACAGGTAACAATGGAGGAAGGAGGCAGCTTGGTTCTCTTCAGTGCCAAACTATGCAGGGAACACTTGGTAACAACTCGAAAAGAGACTAATTTGCCTTCTACTAGGTGGCACACAGACCACATAACTACATACGTAAATATGATAGCAGGACTGTTTTAAATTCAAAAAATATTAATAGAGTGGAGTGTGTAAGCCATTTTAAGTAACACTGCTATGGGTTTTCAGGTTAGTAACCATACAGCTAGCAACTGCTATATTTTCCGTCTGTGGTAGTGCATGAAGGTTGTAAACAGCCACACAAAGCAAAAGCTTTTAGACGACTTTTTGACTAAAGATAGAAGTGCAAGCTCACCTCCTTGAGATTAAGCAAAAGAAACCACACTATTCCCATTAAAAATTACAGGAGCAGGAGAGAGCCAGGAATATAGCTCACCGGCACCTGCCTGGCAAGTGCAAGGTCGTGAATTCAATTCTTAGTACCTCCCCCCAAAAAATCACAGGACAGAGAACTCAAGAAAATATTAACAGGAAATGGTCCAAATCAACATAACCTGAAGATACAAACATTAACAGTGTTGTAAAAATAATAATAAGCCTGTAATCCCAGCATTTGGGAGGCAGAGGCAGGAGAATTGCTGCAAGCTTAAAACCACCTTGGGCTACAAGTGAGTTCAAGGCCAGCCAGAATTGCATAGCAAAACTCTTCAAAGAAATAAAACAAAACAAAACAAAACAAGAAAAGAAAGAAAAGAAAAAGGAAAGGAAGAAACACACAAACAAAATTCAGTTCGTTTGGTGTTGTATTTTAATCAAAAAGAAATGAATCCTTATTCTGACTGAAGATGTCTCCTTGACTGGGGAGGGTGAGCTTAAAAACAAAACAAAACAAAAAAAACACCCTACTTTCTGAAAACTCTAGTACTCCACACATGGGATTTTATTTATTTGTGATACTAGGGTTTGAACTCATGACCTTGAGCTTGCCAGGCAGGCATTTATGCCACTGAGCTAAACCCCTGGCTCACACATGGGATTTTATAGTTGTCCTCAAATGTATCTGTTCTTGTCTATTTGGCTCCTAGGCCCGTGGGAATAGACAATACTGACAAGACACAATGGCTTGCCAAATTAACTTCTCTGCATGACTAATGAGGTTATGCAATGAATATTTGGGAAGGAATTATCAGAGATACTTCAATGGACAGATGTCCCAGAGAAGCAAGTCCTTTCTAATGAACCTGGCCACATGGTGCAAAGAAAAGGATCCCTATGACACACGGAAATGTTGGTTTATAGCATTAAGGCAGGGAAGCAAGAACTGAAATCTTTTCCAGCCCACAGCAGAACATATTCTCAAGATGAATGGTCCTAGAAGCTCTTTATTGATTTACAATTCTAAGTCATCTTTTGCTACTTTTTTAGTGCCTGGCCTTATACTTTTTCATATCATTCTTTAGGAACTCAAGCAGGTCTAAAAATTCTCTTAATTTGTATACCAAAAGCCACCCTCTAAATATAATATTGGTATTTTGCTGCAGCTAAAGAAACAGTAAGAATATGAGATTTATTTTAAAACGAATTAGTTTGAATCCTAAAAGAGCTAAGAAATATCTCCAACTACTACTAGAGGCATGGGAATATAATTCAATGCATTTACAATTCTAGTAATGACTGTCCTATTCTATAGCCCAACACATAGACTGAGCATGTGTCAGAATAATAATTTTAAACAAATGCCACTCCATCCAAAACTACAGCTACAAGTTCAACTAATTCATTTCCAAACGCAAACACAGATTTTAGAAGAGTAAGGCTGAAAAGATGTACAAAAATAAGGAAATTCAGTTCTAGAGATGTTAAAGTCAAGAAGCTAGCCCAGGAGAGACAGAAATGGAACTCCTTGTTCCCAGTACAGTTCAGAAGGGGAAGGGAGAAGAGGGACAGGAGAAGAAAGGGCACCTGGGTGAGGAAGGGGAGGGGAATGGAAGAAGAAATCTGCCCATCGCCTATTTTTGAATAGCCATTAAAAAGCTTAGATTTTACTTTTATAACTAATCAGAGGAAAAATATAAAAAATGAGTACTGTGCGTCATGTAAAAATTTTGCAAGATTTAAACTTCAGTATCCATGAATAAGATTTTATTGAAATAGTCACATTTCTTGTTTCTATACTGTCTGTGGCTGCTTTCACACTATATAAGCAAACTATTCAAACCTGAAAGTTTTCAAGAAAGGTAAGATTGAAAAATATGGTGAAAATGCTTAAATTTTTAATTTATAGCAGTACCTTAGTTCATAAAACAGCAAATAAATTTATTTATTGTCTTTTTCCTTTTTATCGGTACCGGGGATCAAACTCATGACTGCCTGCTTACAAGGCAGGTGCTTATGCCGCTGAGCTAAATCCCCAGCCCCAGCAAATAAATTTATAAACAAATGTTCAGCATCACTGGTCATTCAAGCAATACAAATTAAAACAATGCTGAGATTCCATCTCACTCTAGAAAGAATGGCTATTCCCAAGAAATCAAACTATAACAAATACTGGAGGGCTGTGGGGAAAAAGGAACCATTCTCCACTGTTCATAGAAGTAAAAACATAATTCCACAGCAATGTATGCACACCCATGTTTATAGCAGCACAGTTTATAACATGTAAATTTGGAAATAGCCCCAAATGTCCATCAACTGATTAATGGATAAAGATGTGGGGTGTTTTTTAACACAATGGAGTACTACTCTGCCATACAGAAGGATAAACTCAAAATATTTCAAGGTAAATGGATAAACCTTGAGATCATACTCTGAAGTGACATTAATTGGATACACATGTTCAATTATCAAATGCTATCTCTGGTGTGAGAACCTGAAAGTGTAAATAAGAACCAAAATGTGTAATAGAGATTGTGAAATCTCTAATTCAAATGGAATGAGTATTAGGAAGCGGGGAGGGAAAAGAGGAAGGAAGGAAAAAGGAGAAAACAGTGGAAGAAAAAAATTAAAACAAAGCGTTTGTAAAAACGATGGGCAAGGGAGCTGAGGGGAAGGGAGGGGATGGGAAAAAAGGAACAAAGATATATCACGTGTAAGTACAAATTTCATACGATGAATGCCATCATCATGCATGGCTAAAATATACCTATAAATGTTTTTTTTAAAAAAAGATGAACTAAGAACTACTTGAATTCAAGGATATGAGTTTGTTCCTTCCTTTCTGAGGAGCTTTTGAAACAAACACAAATGAACCCATAGGGGTGTGCTCTTTTCTTTCTCCAGGCGCAAAAGTAACATTTATCTGAAAAATGACTGCCATACAAGAGCCACCCAGGCATTAGTCATGAATATTATCTGCAACAAGGAGAGGTCAGAACAGTCAGAACCTTCATACCACTGAACTCCAATAAAACAAGGCTTGTTTATCACTTCACACACTTGACGGCTTGGGACAATACTGCCCTTTATATATCTACAGGGATAACTTAAGGAAAAAAAAAAAAACAACCACATAGCCCTCTGAAAAGCAAAATGGCACGATTGTCAAGTTTACCCAGAAAAGAGTATATTTTCAACAGCCAGCATGAGTTAATCCATTAACTTGATTTTCAGTGTTTTTCTTTAATCAGGATAAAATCTAAAGCACCGAGCATTGCAACATGTTTAAATTCACTGGTTTTAAAGCTTAATCGCTTCAAGCCAGAAGAAAAACATTTTTAAAAACCTGTTGAACATTAAATATACAACTACTACATGTAAATTAGCAATTCCACTAGTACATATGTAAAAACATATGCCTATGTAATCTTGCACAAAATGTTCATACCAGTATTACCCTCAATTGTCAAAAAGTGAAAACAACACAAATTTATAACAAATTTATAACAAAATTTAGACCATCCATACAATGGATTATTCAGCAATTAAAAGAAATGAAATAACGATCAGTTCTTCACAGATGAACTTTTGAGAACACTATACAAATGAATGAAATGAGAGTCATGAAAGACCACATATTGTGTAATTCCATTTACATCAAGTTCTAGAATGGGCAAATTTATAGAAACAGGTCTGTTAGTGACTTGCTAAGAGCTGGGAGAAGGAAACAGTGGGGCGAGGTCGACTGCTAAGGGGCGCAGGGTTTCTTTTGAGGGTGATGATAATCTTGTCACATTAGGAGGACAGTGGTAGCAGTTAAACAAGTCTATACACAGATTAAAAATCAGTGAAGCATGTACTTTATTTGAATGAGTGTACTTTATTTGAATTTAATAGTATGTGAATTATATACCAATAAAGGTGTTATGTTTAAAGCTTAAAACTATTTTTTTCTTCACTAAAAATGACATACAGTACTTCGTATTTTAGACAGTTACTAGAGAGGTATATAAAGTAAAACCTCAGTTTTGCTGCTGTCAGTTTCTATATGTAAGAAAGAAGAGTCAAGTTTCAGAAGAGTTAATAGATCCCCTTTTGTGGTGATTCTCATCTGTAGTACACTTCAAGTGTGGGAATGACAAGTCTCTGTGCCTTATGTTCATGGAGGAAAATATGTATTTCATTGTAATCTCCAAGACTCATGCAGGATAGCCTATTCCAAACCTTTGCTGTACACTACACATCATTTTGCTATGAAAGCTTAATTACACATCCACATCTCTACAACAGAACAAGAGAGAAAGTAAAATACTGTTGTGTCCCTGTACCATAACAAAAACCTAGGCCATTAATCATATATAGCAGACAAAGCCAAACACATTCTATGCCCACACAGTCTTACTGGTGTCACTTACTGCATGGGTCTCTGGGCCTTGTTTCATCTTAGGGGTAGTGGCTCCATTCCCTACAGTCACCTGGTCAAAATCTGAACTTGATCCGATCTTACTCAGAAAATCCACTTCATCTTCTGCTTTTGTGTCTGGCATTTCTGAAAAGAACAAGTGGAGAGTATAGGGAGTGTGGATCACACAGTAAGGCATTTGAAAAAATTGATTCTCTACAAAAACTGACTATTTACACAACATGATCCAGGTTCCATACATTTGTTTTTGCCTTAAATGGAAAGTATTCTGCTATTGGGTGCTGGTAAACTTCTGGTCCCATATCAAGCTTCTCCTCTGTCACACAGTTGTGTGGTTTTCCCTAACCATTGCATGAATTTGGAACTTCAAGAAGACCCAATTCGATGTCTACTAAAATGTCTATTTTCACCGACTTCATGACAAATTTATGAGTACAGGTATGATGTGCATGTAGAAAAACAAATTCGTAAACTATATGGGACAGATAACACCTGAAAGTAGGTACTTCCTCTTGGCCATCTTCAATAAGGTCAGAGAGATCTGTACAGAGGGAAAAGCTACCTGAAATAAGACAAAGCCTCTGGGATAAGCCTGACTTACTTTCCTAATATACCACACACTCTGATCGACTCACTGCTGCAACAAGTGAGTACCCTTGAGCTTATTTTATTTCTTCTATAACCAAAACAATCAAAAGTCAGCAATTCCTTTTCTTCAGAAAAAAGTCTTTATACAACTTTTCTCTAGTATCCCAGTTGTCCTCTTGCTGACCAAACAGTAGTAGTCTTTGTTACCTGGCCTCCATATGGCTAAGAAAATATAAGGAGGTGGTGGCAAAAATTTTTTCAAGAAAAATTTAGGCTTCTCATATTTTTTTTTTAAGAGGACAGGTAACAGTTGAAATTCATCTCAGTATCCAAACACAAATGGAAAACTGTCAATATCTAAATACAAATGAAACTGTCATGTCATTGTCATGTAGAAAATTTTCTTTGGTGGTTATTAATCTAGTGATACCAATATTTTGACAAATAAAACGTTTCCTACACCAAAAAGCAAACAGGTTTTTTCTAGGAGAAAAAAAAAAATTAGGATTTTATTCTAATACCACATGTTCAAAAAGTCTCCATCAAATTGGGAAAGTTACAATCCCATAAATGAACATTTATAAATCTGCTTTCTTTGCCCTTACAATTATGCGACCTCACCAGCAACTTAAGAAATAAATGGGTAGACAAGATTCTTTGTCAAGAGAATAAAATTTTGTTGAGAATTTTATAAAATGTAACTAAAGCTAAAAAAAAAAAAATTTTTTTTTTCACTAAGACTCTCTTTACAAGTATATCTTGATCAAAACATTTCTTAGAATAATGAGCGAGGATGTTTTTACTTTATTCATTTAGGGATGTGATTCTTGGCACAAATTTACTTTCCTAAACCTATCAACAGAAAATATGTATCCTGGCAACAGCAACCAGTCACAAGTGTAAACAGTGATTACTAAGACTTGAGGGGTGCTGACAATCTGAAGAACTGCATGGCTCTGTGTGTACCACCAGCTTCCTAAGCACTATAATCAATGCTTCTGATAGGTGAAGGACCACCTCATCCTCTTCTAACTGACTCCTTCCAAATTATGCTCCATGCTCATATAACAACATAAATCCATGAATACAATGTACACCTCATAGAAAATATCATCTGGCACTGATATTACAGTCGGGTGATTTTTTTCCTAGGGTAATGTGACCACGGACTTTCCCAACCCTGACTATTTTCTGAAAAAAAGCACAGATTTCTTCATCACTGGTTACTTTTATCCATAGTTTTGAGACCGTGACCAGTGAGCCTACTGTAATTCCTCTGGCAGCAGAGGAAGTAACTCATCTACAAAAAAATACTGACCCAAAATCTACTGTTGAAATTTGGTACATTTTTTCTTTCTTAAAACTTTAAAACCTTAAAATTTGTTTCTTATTATCTTTACTATTACATGCTATTAAAAATCTTAAGTCTGAAATTCTCCCTATATTTACCTTTTCCTCTAGAGAACTTTATATAGTGTACAGTACCTTGGGTTAAATTCTGACCACAGCCAAAAGGAGAAATAAGTCTGGCCCATGTGGCAAGGACAGTGAACCCAAATGAAAAGAACATAGCTAGGCATCAACTTACAGCCACTCCCATTCTTCTGAAATGCCAACCTGCCAGGGGCCTCTAAAATAGACTTGTTGCTGTGTCTCATTTTAAAAATTAGAGATCTTCTCATTTAAATTCTGAGGTAGCAGCCAACAAATTTCTATTGCTACAAATCTAAATCAACAAATTTGAAAACCTGAAATCACCAAAAATTCTACCGAGGCTTCTTAAATAAGGAGATAAAAATTGGTAAAAGTCCTTAACAGGGAAAAATAAACTGTTTTAACTGTTCTTCCTAAGCCACTTTTTTGTTGTCTGATCTCTCTAGACTCCACCCCGATACTCTTAACATCTATTACACTTAAAAGGATTATCAACAATTAAAAAGAACAGCAAAAATAACCAAACAATAAAGACAAGCTATCTCTTACCTACCAAAGCATAGGAGCAGGCACAGAGACAAGTCCCGTGTCTACAGCTGGTGGAAGACAGCAGTAAAAAAGTATACATTCAACTGACCTTTAAAGACTCCAGAAGTGAAGATGGAGACTGACTCCAGTTTCAGCTTCAGTCTCGCCCGTAATAAAAAGTTTTAATTCAAATAGTTTATTTCCCTTCAGCAAGAGTGGTTTCTCTTTGCTGTCTCTGGACATGGTTACCCATAGATGGAACAGGCTGCTGTGTGAGCAATCTGCTCAGTGCAGCTGCTTCACTGAGATAAGCAGACACAAGGTCTGCCCAGTGACAGCAGCTCAGCAGGCTGGGCTTGGACGGAAATCCTGCATCCTATCCACGCACTGTGCAGGGTCCTGAATTCCCAGACTCTGCCCAAAAGGAAGAGGCAATAGAACGGAGGTTGCTCCTTAGACAGGAAAAGGAGGGAGCAAACCAATGACTTAATGCTACCATTTTGGATGCTGGGCCATCAGCTTAAAATGATAATTACAGCTGTTCATGAAACCACTCTGACTCTGAATTTGCCTAAAATTCAGACTAGGATGACAAGGAGGAAGGGAGTTTCAAGCTTGTAAATAAAACACAACCTCTGCAGCACTATTTTTTATGATTCTAAAGAAAAGAACTAGCTTATGTGAATAAAAACATCTGCCAAATTCCTTCATCTTTTTAAGGCATCTGTGATCTAGGCATTGTTTTCTAGGTTTGGAAAGTTGCAACGGCTACTGTGTGACAGACAGACCGTTAACAGGTTTAAGTAATCAAGCTACGAATCTACAGTACAGGAAGCCGCAACCCTAAGATGACGTGCATTCCCTTGACGGTGATGACTATCAACTTGGCAACCTCCCCAATGAGCAAGCAAGACCTTAAAATAACAAAGATGCCTGTATTTTTACTACATACAACAGAGACTCTGAAAGAAACTTGCCTCTGAAACTGTTAATTCTGTATTTTGCTATGCTTACCTGTTGCTGGCTCCTGTCTCTGTACAGGCAGAGTAATCTTCTCTGGCTCCTCCCTTCCAGCAAAGAGTCCTGTGAGAGTCCCTGTGGCTTCTTTACAAATACTATCCATTTTCAGGGTCTGCCCAGGCAGGGAAGCACACACTTTCTCCGTAGAGGTCTCCTCTGATATTTCAGTCACAGGGCCTGACTCAGGACTGGACAGTGACATGTGACTGATTTCTCTGTCAGTAATCAGTGCTCCCGAGGCCTTGATTCGTTCGATGACAGCTTCCACTATACGGCTGGCAGCCTCCTCTAAGTCTGCTCCCACAGGCACATGTTCAGCTTGCTTGTCTGATGAGGTTGAAACCTGTGTGACTTCCCTCCTCACAGCTGGGGTCTTGCCATCAAAAGTTGAGAGCCCTGCCTCTGTGGGAAGCTCCATGGCAACAGGTTCCAGTGCTTCAGCATCCATTTGTACCTCCTTGGAGGCACTTGTGATACCACTGAGGTCTGCTTCGTCCAGCTTCTCTTTCTTCCAATCCAGAGGTAACACTGCTGGGGTTATAGCTTCCTGTGGGCTGGTCATACTTTTGTCTGGTAAAGCTCCTGACAAACTAAGGGCCATATTCTCCTCCTGGTTCAACAAAACTTCGGAAATTGGAATGTCTTGGCTGTTGTTTGGTATATGCTTTCTTCTGGACCCAGCAGGACCTTGTATAGTCTTAAAACCTGGAATATCCACTGTCACATTTTCACTCACTTCACAGGCATTGGTTTTCCCCTGGGATTCAGTGTCCTTCATTTCAACATCCCGTGAAAAAGGCTGATTGCCATTAAATGCCTCAGACACATCTGGCAACAGACATGGCAAGACAGGTGATTTGTTCTGCTCTGCATCCAAGGGTTCCTGCCTGGAATCTGCAGGCAGACTTGCTCCTGGTGTCACCAGGCTCTGTGTGGCCCCACCTTCGGCCAGCAAGGTCTGTGGGGTCACTTCCTTGTTATGTTCAGTTTCTGCCTTCAGACAGACAGAGGCTATGACCAGTGAATCACTGTGGTGAAGCGCTTTGTCCTCTGTACAGACGGCCGAGAACCCCGGTGTCTCCTGTCCACCTGGTGTCTGCATTTCCAGCAACATTCCTGAAGAAAGCATATCCTTCTTAATGGAGGAGCACATTGCTGCTTTATCCTTGTCATCTTGTCCCTGAGCTGCAGAGCTTTCAGAAACTGCCAGATTCTTTCCTTCTTCAGTCAAAACTGAGCTAGAGGCCCAAGTAGCCTCATCCACACTTAGCAGTGAAGAGTCAGTCAGAACTTCAGAGGGTGCTGAGAGGCCAGGGCTCTCATGCTCCCCAGCAAGTCCTCCAGGACTGACATTCCCCATGCTGGGCTGAAGATCTACAGCAGCACAGGATGTGGACAGGCCTACAGTGCTGTCTTCTAGCAGCTGGTTATCAGGATAATCTGAATCTCCTCCGGCTGGGTCATCTCCACACACTGTAGACCTGTGTAGTTCCGGGGTTGCTGTTCCCTTTTCTTTCTGGGAGGGGACAAGAGAAAGTACGTCATCTTTGGTTACTGATTCACTGCCTGGACTGCTTGCCAGAGGGAAAGTGCTGCCTGATGGTACTGCCTCATCTGGTCCCAGTTCTTCCTGAGTTTTGGGCACCAATGAATGCAGATGTGAAGCTTCCTCATGCACATTTATTAAAGGTGTATCTACTTTCAAATCTTTTCCTTGATCCTTTTTATCTGAACTTTCAAGTGAACAAAAATCCATGCATTCTTGGGTATCTCTTAAAGGGTTAGGGGGGATAGTCATTGCTTGTTGGTCTTTCTGGCAGACAGCAGTGGGTGGGTCCTGTGTGTTGGACTGCCCTGCTGTGGTGACTCCACAGAGGTTAACTATGTCATTGCAATGTTCTGCAACCATCTCACCACTAGAAGTCACTGTGTTCTGCTGAGACACAGAGTCAGTGCCAAGTTTATCATCTCCAGTTGTAGAACAAACCAGTGATTTGCTGTTCTGGCTTTCAACATGAGGTGTATTTGTTTCTGATTTCTGGTTTGGCAGTACATCTTTCTCTAGCCCAGAAAAGGTTAACTCCGAGGGTGACAGTGCCTTGCAAATGCCTGTTACAGGAATATCCAGCTCTAGTCCCTCTGCAGCAGCCAGAATTACCAGTGAGTTCTGATCTTCAAGAGCATCGGCATACTCTTCACGCTTCCTCAAAGTTTCAGTTTCTGCTGTTTTTTCACCAGGGATTTCTCCAAGACTAAACACAAGGGAAGAATTATCAGGTTTACTGCCATCCAGAGTACTAGTGGCAGAGGGACAGCTTGGAACACTGGTTTTATCCACAGGCTCACTGATGACCTGTACGTTGGTGGTTTCAGCTGTATTGCTGTCAGAGTTCTCAAATCTTTCCTCTGCACTTTTCCCTGCCTCACACATACTGTTCTGGATGGTGGCACCTGAGTTCATGAGACTATGTTTCATTTTCCCAGCACTCTCTGGCTGGCTGACATCTGCTGAACTGCCTAACAATTCACCTCCAGGGGGATGCTGGGCCCCACTCGGCTCCATGACCATATCTTCCTTCCTGTGGACCAAACTCTTTTGGTTACACAGAGCCTTCTGTTCTATGGTCATTCCAGAAGACACTGCTCCAGTTTCTTCATCCCTGTTTCCTTCTGTACCTTTTACGCCGCAGTCAGGCACACTCTGAAGGCATCTGTCTTGATTACACACAGTTCTTGAGTCCACAACAGGTGCAGGGTCAACCTCTTCCCCTTTTCTCTGTATACCTTTATTTTTCTTCCTATAAGAACAGTTTGTAGTCTCTTCCTCAATCACATGTGACAAATCACAGGAACTTTCAATCTGTCTAACAGGGCTCCCGTGGCAGCATAGGCTAGTCCCAGTCTCTTCAGGAGAAGAAAGCTGCTGACTGTCTGAGGGCTCTGATGCACAGGGAAGGATCTGGCCATTTGTCTCTGGGACACTGGGTAGATTGCAAGGATCCTGTGCTGTCACCATGGCGGGTGTAAAATCATCCATTTGCCTGGGGTTTGTTTTCTAGGAGGAAATCAAAATATACATTCAAAAAACTGACCATAAGACTTCACTGACACCTATAAGCAAAATTCTATAGAACAAAATTCCCTCGTTCTTGTCCTTCCAGGGTCACAGGATAATGTGACCTAAGCAAACACAAATTATCTTGATAATACATCTCTCTCTCTTTCTTGCTCACTTGCTCTCACTCTCTCTCATTATCTACATAGCCACTGGAACATTAAAAACGGCTTACAATATACACAGTTTCCAGGTGCAGTGGTACATGCCTGTAATCCCAGAACTTGAGATACAGATGAAGGTGGGGGTTGGGAGCTAAGGTAGGAGGATCCTTTGGGGCCATCCTGGGCTACATAATGAAACCCTGTCTCAAAAAAAACAAAAAGAGGGCCAGGGGTTTATCTCAGTGGCACAAGCACCTGCCTGGCAAGCACAAGGTCATGAATTTGATCCCTAGTACTCTTCCCCGCAAAAAAACAAAAACAAAAACAGAAAGAAAAAAACCAACCAACCAAAAGAATACCTGCTACATTTTGAACTCTTTTACAAAGGATTAAAATTGAATCTCAAAAACTTTTAAAAAGGCATCCTAAACACCTTCAAACGAGCAAGTTGAAGATATTTTTTTTTCCTGTCTTTTTCTTTTTTATTAGTACTGGGGATCGAACCCACAACTGCCTGCTTACAAGGCAGGCGTTTATGCCGCTGAGCTAAATCCCCAGCCCCTGAAGATATTTTTTTAATAAGTCTTGAAAAGTAAACAGCTGACTTCCACTCCACCTCCAGTAGAAACAAAACTGTAACTAGTTTCATAAACCCTTCAACTACAAAACCCAGGTGAGTACTCCTGCACTTATATAATGTAATACCTTGGCACATAAACACTTCTCTTCACAAACAGAAGTGTTTGGCACAATTTTGCTTTCATTTATTAAATGTCAAACTCTGCATTAAGTGTCAAACACGAACATAGCCATTTCCCCCAGAATCATAGAACAAATCAAGTTCTTGAACTAAGGTACCAATGTACCTACTAAGAAGTTACAGTGTCCTTTAATCCCCAAAATATGGTCACCTCAATCCACTTTACATATTTCAGTTTTAGGTTCATAATTTTAATAACAGTGGTGTGGTAAATCTAACTACTTTTGATAAAAAGCAGTTCCTCTGTTTTCAAATGCTGATTACTCGATACGTGACAGCAAACAGTAGTAATAGCACTTACCTCAATCACTAACAAGGCATTATGGCTTGAGAATATTATAAATATTTTCTGCAACTTTAAAGTATTTTCTCCAATAAACAAACACAACCAACAATGGAATGGTTCAGAAAATCACAGAACATCAACTTGCTTGAGGGAATTTTATGCTGCTATATAAATGGCAAGTATGATGACAACAGCATAGGCAGAAAAAAAATTTGTAATACAACATTGAAAAAATAAATACAACATGTTATGCACAAATGTCCTGTGTATGTAGACACGGTTTAGGAAAATTTTTTAGAACAAATATGAATAGGTATTTCATAAGTTTTTAGAACAAATTTAAAAATTTTTAGAACAAATATGAATAGGTATTTCATAAGTTTACCTGCATATAAAAATTTTAGCAATTATTATAATACTATTCGGTTAACACATAAAAATTATTTTAAAAATATCCAGTCTGTTCTCTACTCAGTGTTTGATCTACCACAATAATTTCTACTACTTACTTACTTGTCGAGTTTCTTATACTTCTAAGTTTCTAATATATTTACTAAGTAAATATTTTAGACTGTTTCTATCTAATTGAGTTTACTGTAAAAGTTTACATAAAAACAATATAATGTGTTATAGTTACTAAAGTCCTATTAAAAGTACAAGGAAAGTATAGAGTTTCACTAAAAGTTCATGTCTCATGTGCTACTATTCAACACTCCATTCCTGCAAAAAGTATGATTTCCTTTTAAAAATTATGAAAGCACACTAGGTATAATGGCACATATGTGTTATCTCAGCACTTTGGGAGGAGAATCACAAGTTTGAGCGTATCCTGGGCAACTCAGCAAGACCCTGTCTCCTAAAGGCAGGGGAAGAAAAGAGATGGCTTAATAGGAAGTCCCTCAGTTCAATCCCTAGTACCACCAAGAAAGAAAAGAAACAAAAGAGGCAGGCAGGCACAGACAGACCACAAAAAAAAAAAAAAAAAGGAAAGCATGCTAACATGCAATTAAGGGAAGATACATTACAGAAAAAGACCTAGAAAACAAATCTGAAGAATCTGAGAAGCTTCTAACACATACATCTTTCCACAACTTAAAATTTCTCATGTTTTCTTATCAACCAGACCTTGTAGGTAGCTTTCAGATCTGCAAATTGATGCTTTCAAGTGGATTTTCATTCACTTTGTAAAGAGTTCTAAGAGAAAAATCTGATTTCCTGAGCAGTCCATTGAAAGGAAAATAAAACGACTGCTTTAGAACAAATATGATTTTGAAAGGCAAAGGCAGGCACAGTGACAACACTATTATCAAATTTCTTGGCCTGCTGGCCTCAGAAATAATGCCTGCTCCCAAAGAAGATGCTGGCATTGCGCTGACTCTAGGCAACCTTAAATGAAATCGTTATCAAGCTGTTTCCAAATCCAATCACTCCTGAAATAACTGGGTGGAAAAATTATCTCAACTTAGTCCTTCAGATATTGTAGCCAAGAGAGATGCCCCAATATGAAATCTATATTACCCTAATTCATGCTATCAAGAAGTCTGTAATGCTTTTGTTTTTGAAAACACTTTTATCTTACAGACTTGAGTGAATTATAAAATCTTTATTTTTGGTGCTATTTTAAACCATTTAACTATCCATTTAAATATAGTAACATTATCACCACTCATTAAAATAGCTGTGAAAGGCTATATTGATGAGTAAATTTGGTTCTTGCATTTTAGCAACAATCTCATAAACTGGTTTTCTTCATTTAGGCAGACACAGACATATTTTATGCCTGAGAAAGTTAGTTCTAGTTGTTGCATGTTTCTATGCTTGCAACAGTTATGTGTGAGTATCTTTTATTACTTCAGAAATATGACAAAAATCAGTTTTAAAATCTTAGCTGCCTACTGCTATGCTACAATCTTAATGCTAGTTTATAACTTAAGTGCTGATAATGAACACTACTGATACTGCTTGACAGGTTTCACAATCTTTAGTAGAAACATTTTTTATGCTCTGAGTATAGCACGGTTCACTAGGCAAGGTAGATATATACACACCTGAAAAGGAAAACTATCTTGCTTACCATTAGTTGCTGTTGGATGTTCCTAAGTTTTAAAATATGTCCAGAGCAACTGTCTCCAGGAAATGGGGGTTCACAGCTGGATTCTGATGGAGAGGTCAAAGTATAGATATCCAGCTTCCGATGATGCCACACAGAGCAATCTCCAAAAGGGATTTCATAGGATAAACTGCTCCAGGAGTCTGGTTCCCCAGCATTCTCCCTGCAAGCAAGCAGTCTCTGGTTAACACATGAATTCAACTTCCTAGGCATAGATGTAAGCCACTTTAAGTATAATGTCATTTCTAACCTGATTGTCTTTGTAAAAATTTTTCCTTATATAACTCCTACATGATTCAGCATATAAAAAATCCATCTATTTTCCTAAGAGGTCACAAGAAGGTTAATTCAATACAGGAATCTTCCCCCTAAGTATGTTTTTTGGATCAACACACAAAAAGGTCAGATTTCAAAGTAGTTAATTTTATGCCAACAACCAAATAATGAAAACATATAAGCCTGGTTTTCCACAGAACACTTATTAAGAATTGATTTTAAATAGGTTATACCATCTGCTAGTTACAGTTGACTATATTGGAATGGGAAGAACCAGTAACTCTGAACCATGTGAGCACATTCTGACTTTACAAACAATACTGGAAATGCCTCAAATTTCCCGAAGTTAACTACTACAGTAACAAATGAACACACAAAAACTACAATACCAGATTATATTGTCCTTGTCAACAAATAAAATAGGATTTAATTTTTTAAATCCTATTTTAAATAAGCTCTTGGTTTTATGAAGAACTTCAATTTTTTTAATTTTAAAAAACAATTTTGCTCAATTTGTATCATTATAAACATGTTTATACCTATAAGGCTGATAAAGGGTTCAGGCATATAACCAACTATTTGTGGCACAAGTTTCAAATAAGAAATCTTACTGGGTACTGTGGCATACACATGTAATCCCAACTACTCGGAGACTGAGGCAGAGGAATTCCACATTTGAGGTCTGCTGGAGGAACACAGTGAGACCGTGTCTCAAAAAGTAAAAAAGGTGGGCATGTAGCTCAGTGGTAGTGCACTCCTGGGTTCAATATCTATTACCAAACAAAACAAACTTCACACATGAACACAGAAAATCTCTTGGATGTGGTTCTTAATGGTCTTTCCAATACTGTAAGCCAATTACTTGATCAAGAATTGTAGATTTCTTCTATAAAGACCACAGCACCTCAAATTTAAGCATTGTTTCTAGAACATAAACCCATGCCCATAAAGTCCGCTTGCACTACGTTCACAGCTGATGAAGGAACTTTGGGACATGAGATAGAAAGATGAAGTACACAGTGACACACCACACAAACTTATAGTCTCCATGACTATATTTTGGCAAGTATTTCAAATGTTAAACAAAACAAGTTTCTTCTACCTGCAACAAAAATATAAGTTTCTGATGCATCAATCCTTGGTGTCACTGTCTGTTCTTAATAGTTTGATAAGGCACATAGTTGGTAGATTCTGGATTTAAATCGAGTTATTTCCTAGCTATATGATGTTTTATAAGTTTCTTAACTTCTCTGAGTCTTATATCATGTGCACATAGGGATATTACAATCCAAGCACTCTTCTGAGGATTACAGAAAATAAACATGAATTGCTTATAGTACTGGCATAGAGAAGTCTCACACTGATGCGCCCTGTTACTATTTCTTGCTTGCATTCATTTAAAAATAATGCCTACTAAGCGTTCTTCCTTTTTATTTCCTACATTTATCCAGAAAAACCCCGTTTCTTGGAAACCTTTAACACCTGAAAACAACCTTCTATTCTGACTAGATGCCTCATGGCTAAATGACTGGGCAAAATAACAGATCATGCTTTCCATCAGCGTTTTCCTGGGTTTGCAGAATGTTCTTTATTTCCACTCTCCTTTTGACATTAATATCTTGAGCTTCCCACAGTATATGTATCATATCACAAATAAGCATAAGCGAATAGCACAGTGATAAAGCATCCTACAGATTCTGGAAGAAGAAAGGTTAGACTTCAGATCACTGTCCTTTTTAAAAATGGAACAAACTAATGAATTAAGAAACAGATATGCCATCTGTTGACAAACAAAGAAAGAGTATTTCAACTGCCTCTACAAAGTTTTGCATACTAAATCATATTTGTAGTAATTCACTTGAGAAAGAGAATTTTAAAATAAAAAATTTAGTATAGCAGAAAACCTGTAAAGTAATGGAGATCATGCATTGGCTCAATATCACAAATGTGCTCCAAAAGAACACTATTGTAATTTCTATACTTGATAGTAGCTGCTTACCAGTTGCTTAAAATAAGATTAGCATATACTATGTGCTAGACATTTTGTGTATTTGTCAAAGTGTTTTACTTTGAGTAAAATGATTCCAAATAGAAAAGTACCTGCAGGGCACTTACTTCAAAGGTCAAAGAATGACTCAAAGTAAAACTGCTATACCAAATGAGGAGGAGAAAACTGGAAAATCAGCTTTCAAGCTGGGGTTGACCACTGACTACAATGACAGACAATACTGATAGCTTGCTCAGATTACCATACACTGTACAGCCATACTCCCACACAGAGCTTCAAACACAAAATCTGATTTATATACCACCACTCCATGTGAACCAAATATAATAAGCTTAAAACACTGTTTGCCAGGTAAACATCAATTAAAAAGTGACACGCCTTATTCTCTCAGCAGAAGGGAGTATTCCATCAACCTTACCACTATTAATCCTCAAATTGTTGCACTTTTATTATCTAAATATTCAGGAATTCCTTTCACGAACAACAACCTATTTATTTACTGTCTACTTCTCCCATGTTCTTCCTCTAGAGGAATGTGTTTTTGTTGTCACATTACCTCTAGGTGCTAACTATTCAACCTCCCAACTCACTACCTCTATGTACGTTTATTGTTCCTACTTCCTTGAAAGACCTGTCACTGCAATTATTTTCTCACTGACTCCCACGAACACCTATTGCCACTAATACTCTGCCATACTCATCTTGCCTTTAGGTCTGGGTTAATTCCACTATTCGTGCACTCATCAAGTAACTAGTATCCAGGCACTAGTTAATGTGCGGACTAAAACTCACTTTTGTTGGTAGCTTACATACTCAGCAAGGGACAAAAAGCAAGGTAAGTAAGCAAAACATCAAGGCGGCAGTAAGTATTGTGGAGAATAATAAAGCAAGGATGAAAGCTGCAATTTTCAGTGTGGTAACATTTAAGTAAATATAGTTTGTGCTCTGAGTTAAATATTTAAAAAACTTTACTGTGTTCACTAATAAAGCTGGGCAAAGTTCTACACATAAAAGGTTTGCTGCAACCCAAAAGTGGAAATAGCCTTGGTAATTTAAAGAACAAATTCATATACTATTACACAGCCATAAGAATTAATTGAAATGAGAATTCAGTAAACTGAAATCTACAATGGTTGATGAATAAACAAAATAAAAACACAGATTAAGTCTAAACAGTAAAATGCACAAATAAAATGTGTCAAAGTGATTAGGTTAGGCCTTTTACCCCACGATATAACTTAGCATTTTTAATAATTTTCATTAAGACATTAATGTCTTCATTAATTTTCTGAAGTCCCTCTTCAGCCAGGCCTCACGGCTGATCTGCAAAGCTTTTGCTATGCATTCATGCACGTAATCAAAGGTATGCGATTTCCACAAATCCCAGACATAGCCTTGTCTACTTATTCTCAGAGGACCTTTTTTCCTGTCTTAGTAAGCTCAAGGCTATCTATTGTGAGTTAAAGTAATCTTTATGACTCCAAAGAAAGTGAGGGTAGGGGCATCTCTTATCTACTCTCTCAAGATACATTGTCAAGACAGTGGTTCTGCTTTGTTTTTTTCTTGCCCCTGCCCCCTGCCCCCTGCCCCCTGCCCCCAGCAGGACTCTGCATCAATGTTGTCTGATTACCTCTAACTTTCCACTATGTCTGAACTTGCTCCTTCGCCACCATTAGCAATGGACCAAGCATTACTGACAGTAAAGGGAATCACTTCAGAGGATGAAAATAGCAATCCTATCAACCCTGTGACCAGTAGGTCTCACCTGAAGAATCTGATCCCCAAGCGGGACACTCAACAATGAATGAGGACGGTCTTTGAGCATTACAACTTGGGGGAAAGGGAATCTTCCCACAGTAAAGGCACAAACTGTCAGTGGCGCACAGTGGGGCTCAGAGAGGCTAAAGTAATCCCTAGAACTGCTATCTCGGTGTCTTCCCATCAAAGAAGACAAATGTTCACCTCCTACTTCCAAACACTCTGAGGTTCTGCAATTTGGCTCCTACCTAAGGCTACTGAAACTTCTTTGCCACAGGTCTCCAGTGACAAATTCCAAAATCCAGTGGCCATTTTTTTGTCCTTGAATTTTACAGAATGTGTAAAATTTTGACACTTGACTTTCACAAAAATAAGCTGTTTCTCCATTATTGTCCCTGCTTCTTTTCACATCTTAGATGTGAACATATAAAGTCTCAACTCAGCCCTCCTCTGCTTTCATTTATTCTTTCCCACAATCCCAGCTCACCTCCCAAATCCCTCTCTAGCCTCAGTGTGTGAGCTCCTACCTCTGAGCATCCTCAAATTTCAAACCTCAGTTTCACACACCCCTACTCTCAAAAGCAGCAGCAACTCCAAACTTACCTCCATTAATAAAGCCACTGTTTTCCCTAGTAACATTGTTTCCTGTGTTCAGAATATTATGCAGATTTTACATGAGCAATGCTTCCTTCATCTAGCTCCTTATTTCAATTCCTTGGATACTGCACTAATTTAGACCTTTGCTGTATTACCTGTATTCTTGCAGCTACTCTTATTACTAGTCAGCTGTGCTAGGAACTCCACTACCCTTTAAAGCTATCAGAAATTTATTTTAAAGTAATGATGATGTCATTATCTTGCTCAGAAGTTTTGGCTCTATAATTTGGTATGCATGCCCTCTGGCTCCAATGCACTACTGGGAATTGAAGCCCCCAGGCTGTACTCAAATTTTCAATCCTTCTGTCTCAGCCTCCCAGGATGATTGAGTACAGATGTGAACCATCACACCCAGTTTTATTTGTTCTTTTCACTAGAAGCAAAACCACAGTCTATGGGGCTATATCATTTAGAATTTTGTCTTTAACCTTTATCATTCTATAAAGCATTCTATCTTTGTTGCA